ATGAAAAGTATATATGCAAGACTAAGAACCAGTGTCATTCTCAGGGGAGAGGTATCAAAGGCATTCACCTAGAGAACAAGGACCAGGCAAGGCTGCCTATTATCACCACTCCAATTTATTGACTTAGCTAGAACTTCTAATACAATATTGAATATTGAATTGGAAGTTATACCTAGGTCAATAAAGCCAGAGAAAGAAATAAGAGGCATCTAATTTGACAAAGAGTGGTGAAACTGCCATTCTATGCAGATGATATACTTGTGTACAAAGAAAACCCCAAAAGCTCCACCAAAAAAACCATTAGATTTAGAAGACTATTTTAATAGAGTAGCAGGTTATAAAATCAACATCCAAAAATCAGTTGAATTTCTATACAGCAACAAAGAAATCAAGAAAAGGAAATTAGAAAAGCAATAGCATTTACAATAGCCAGCCATAAGATGAAATACTTAGGAATAAATCTAACTAGAGATACAAAAGATCTTCGTAAAGAAAACTACAAAACACTACTATAAGAAACAATAAGAGACCTAACGAAATGGAAGTATGTTCCCTGTTCTTGAATAGGAAGAATGAACATTGTGAAATTACATCCTACCAAAAATAATCCACAGGTTCAATGCAGTCCCAAACAGACACCAAATTCATTCTTCTGAGATAGAAATGGCAGTTTGCAATTTTCTTTGGAAAGGAAAGAGATCCAGAATAAGTAGATCTCTCCACACATTATACCTACAGGGCCCCTTTATATCAAGTCCAATGAAGCAAAAGTTGGTTCTTTTGGGAGCACATAAAAAAAACAGAGAGAGATTATAGTGACTGATGTTCCAGTAAAGGACCTCTGACTAGAAACACTAACACTCTGTCTGTTTTATTAATTTTTGAGGTCTGAAGGATAGTGAATGCTTAGGACAAATAAATCTGATAAAATCTTTAAGTTACAATGATTTTTTAAAAAAAAATTAAACAAAATAAATACATTATTTTATACTTTACATATCTTGCAAGTAGTTAAGAATGGTTAAAACAAAGAAATACCAAAAAGAAAATAAATTCTAAAATATCAGTGATTTTAAGCTGTAGCATTATGAATAACTTTTGGTTTCCTTTTGTATTAATCTGTATTATATAAACTCAGTATCATGTGAGCACATTCATTATAAGGAATCACATGTAAAGAGAGATTACAGCATGTAAGAATGAAAAGATGGATCACATATTGGTACTTCTCTGTGTTGTAGGGATATTACTTTCATACTGAAAACCCCTTCAAGGACTGGCCTGGAGCATTTGAAGAAGGCTTAAAAAGACTGAAGGAAGGAGACCTACCAGTCACCATCCTGTTCTTGGAAGCAGCGATTCTTCAAGACCCTGCAGATGCAGAGGTATCCTCCCCTTTCATTCTACCTGGCTCAGGAAATGGCTGCATGTGCTAAAGTGGAGGGTGGGGAGGTTATGATGACCTTAAGCTTTTAAACCAAGTAAAGAATCACAAAATAATTAGCCTCGTTTGTGACAGTACAAATAAATGCTTATTTTCCAAGCAAATCTGCTCTGTATTGAGGGCCCGAAAACAGAGGTTGAAGACAAGAACTAGAAAATTGAATTCTCAACCTGGAAGTTCACCCGTGGTTTTCAGGGGAAAGTATACTGTTTTGCCTGCGCCTGAAGCCAAACCATGTGTCACTCTTGATTTACTACACATTTGACGTTTATTGAGCACGAACAAGGTCCCATGAATTGTATCAGACACTAGCTTAAGAAAATAAAAGGAATGGGAAAATTAAAAAGTTCAAGACATTTTTGTGATCTCTCTGCAGAGACAACTAAATCAATCAGGGCAGCATGGTCAGTACGTGTCAGAGCTGTACAGGATACTCCTGCCGTATATTCCCACGGAAGAGTCCATAGCTGAGCTTTGAAGAATGAGGGAAGATTCCGAACAATAAAAAAATGGCTTTTGGTTTTGTCTTGGGAGTGGAGGCCAGGGAACTTGAGGTGTTGTTAAGAAGGAATGTTGTGTGGGCAGAGAGAGAGGCATAGAGTCAGGGTAAGTGAAGAGAGGAGAAAGCAGAGCAGAAGAGGAGGCAAGAGCTTATCCTGAATACTAGATGACAACTAAGATTATTCGCTGGATGATTCTACCCCTATCTAATTAGATGTTGTAAAGATTAAGTTCAAACTCATCGCCATCAAGTCAGCGGAGTCCTGGCTGGCTCTCCACAGAGCTTCTGAGGTTATAAATTGCATAGAGATGTCTGTCTTTGTCCAGCCATTACATGTGAACTGCCATTGAGGCAGGTCTTTAGATTAGCAGCATAACTCCCTATGGATTAGACCACCAGAGCTCCTCAAGGATTAAATTGGTTCATACAAATAAAGAGCTCAGTTAATTGCCTGGCGCATCAGTCTTTAACCTTCTTGATTATTGTTGGTGAAGAGCCCTAGTAGTTAAAAGGGTTAAGAAGTTTGAGTTACCTGTGAGTTCCTCATGAGAAAGACCTGAAAATCTGCTCCCATAGAAATTGCTGTTTATTGTTGTCCTGTACCATCAAGTCAGAACTGACCCATGCCCAATCCTCCAGTGGGTTTTTCAAAGACAGTAAATCACACAGGAGGAGATTGCTTGTCTCTCTCCCGCAAAGCAGCTTGTGGGTTCGAATCACGTACCTTTGAGTTGACAGTGGAGTTCCTTACCACTAAGCCACCAGAGTTCCCCATAAAGATTGTACCCATGAAAATCCTATGAGCAGTTCTCCTTCCATGTGGAATCATTATGAATCAGAATCAACTTGATGGCAACTAATGACAACTGTATTAGTTAGGCTTAGTTTGTCAAGAAAGTATATGATAGCAAGTTAATATTATTTCAGTCAGATAGTTTACGGAGAAGAGACTGAATCCAAAGAGGAAATTCTGAAGCAAAAGATTGTAATTTTTAAAAATGTATGGATCATTATATAAGAGAAAACTTGTCACACTGATATACAGGCCATTCCTCTTTCCTATCCCAAAGTCATGTCACTTTACATATGTAAATGTTATATTTCTTTTATATTTTTGTTATTTTTTGACAGATCAACCATAGAAGATAAGATATATATAGATATAGTTGTTGTTGTTGTTGTTGATTGTCTTCGAGTTGAGCACAACTCATAGTGACCGCATGAACAAAAGGCCTGAAGCCCCTCTACAACTATTTATTTACATTTATCAGAGTTCATAGACTTTCCAGAGGCAAGTTATCTAGGAAGTGATGCCACTTCTGCCTCCAAACTTGTCATAATATGTTATATATAGATATAATAATTCATAAATAAATTCCTAAATTCTCATTCATAAATGAAAAAATTAAGGCCCTTGGAAACTAGTGGACCCAAGGCAGGAACTCCGAGCTTTGAACCCTTAGGAAGGAAGCCCCAGGCTGAAAAATAGTCCTGTCTAAGAAAGACCATCTCACCAAGCTTTTCTAAAGGCACATTCTAAAATGTATGGAAGATGAAATAAAAATAGAGGCAACATTATGTTCATTAAATAATTGAAAAATAATCACCAGTATTTGGGAATGGTGTGAATAATCAGTATTTTTCATGAATTTATACATTATGTGTGATAGTAACTAACAAGAGGGTAAACTGATACAATCTTAATAGCCTCTTAAAGTAATGCTCTTGTGTTTTATTATATTTTATCTTAAAATTTCTACAAAATTTATTCCTGAGTATAATTATTATTGTTATTGTTATTGTTAAGTGCCACCAAGCCGTAGTTATCTCATAGCAACCCTATGAACAAAAGACCTTAACAATTGTATAACTTACATCGTATCTCCAAGTTCATAGGGTTTCCAGAGGTAAGCAATTTCGGAAATGGATGCCACTCCTGCTTCTAAGCTTCTTGTAATTGGGGAGCTTCACCAAGCACTGTCCACCATGGGTAACCATTATAGCATTTGACACATTAAGTGTCACAGTGTTCAGCATCACAGCAACCACGAGTTACCTCTGTACAGCAAATGGACAGACCAGTCCTAAAGCACGTAGAAGAGTATTTGACCAAAAACAATTAAAACCAAGCCTGAGGGCCACAGATTAAAATCACTCACCTCTTACTTGGTAGCATAACTTTCTATCCACCAGGCCCATAGAGCTTTCTCTATGTTGGTGGTGTTGTTACATGCCATCGAGTTGTAGATGACTCAAACCAACCCTATGAATGAAAGACGGGAACAATTGTATAACTTTCATCCTCTCTCCAGGTTCATAGGGTTTCCAGAGGCAAGCTATTTCAGAAATAGATGCCACTCCTGCTTCCAAGCTTGTTTTAATCAGGGAGCTCCATCAAGCACTGCATACACTCCCTATATCTTTTTCAAATTCTACTACTTTATATGCCCTAACTCCTCTGAAAATTTGAGAACCAGTGTGTGTAATGAGATATTTTGCTTATATGCACTGCTCTTTGAATGTGTGACACTTGTATTCTTTTAAGTATCTAAGTAGAAAATGACTATATTTAAAAAGTAATCTCATTCTAAATATGAAAACGTTACCTGCCTGCTTCAAGATGTTCATCAAATTTGTTGCAGTAGCGAAAGAATAAAAACAGCCTTAGAGCAATTAGAGAATTGGTTGAGTAAATAATGGTATATTCCTTTAAAACAATCAAAAACTAAAAACAAAAATTTTATGGAAAAGTGCTTATTATATGGGATAAACATATACCATAAAATTATGTATACACTATGATTGCATGTTGTTTGTGTTTTATGCATTTTAATAGTAATTCTATTTCGGTGAACACTTTGTGGGGGTTTGCTTTATTTTCCTTATTTCCTTGATTCCTTTTAATTGCTCTAATATTTTCTTGACTTTAATTTTATGTCTTTCATTTCTTTTTTGGTATCTTGGGATTCTTTTTTGTAAGCTTTGAGACATGTTGTTACATTTCTGAGCTGTAGTCTTATCTTTTTCTTCCCAAGTAGGGCATTTTATCTATTTACTTTTTGGCTTTAAGGCCTCTAATATCATTGAATCTCAGAATCTCAAAAGTTTCCATAGCTCTGAGTCACAGGAGACATTCAATACTTTAAGAATCTGCAGATAATGGCAGAAGACTTTAACCCAGAAGTGAGAAGAGCATTTGGATGAAGAAATGCATGTCATTCTTGCCCCTCACTCTATATGAAGTGATCTAAAGAGAAACAAGCTAAATCAGTATGTGACTGTGTTGTCTCCTACATCGTTGATATTCCCTGTTTTTTTGCAGGCATGGCAGTTCCTTGGGATAACACAAGCAGAGAATGAAAATGAACAAGCAGCCATTGTCGCCCTCCAGAGGTAGAAAAAGCTAAGCGCACTATTGTAGGCCTGGTGGACACTAGTTGACATAATGAACGGACTTTTTATGTTTTTTGTTTTGTTTTATTTTGTTTTTTCAGCCCCACCGCAGACTTTGTATGTTTTAAATTCTCCTTTTGACTCTTATTTACACACACTGCAGGGAGTCCAACCAGGAAAAGTGCTGAGATAATATACATTGTTTCCACTTCATTCTGAAAAACAAGAACTTACAAAGAGACAATTTTCCTTGCTTGTCATGCTTTGCCTTTGTAAGTCAGTCACTAATACTCACTGACACCATAGAACATCCATGGAAAATGCAGTCATTAAATAGATTTCCTGAATACTTCCTTTTGAACTTTCTAGCCTTTTGCAGCATTAAAAAATATATATATTCACAATAATCCTGTATCATTTAGCTGCTTGTGTTTATAGACATTTTTCTGAAATGATTTCAGCAACCTGAAGGTTTAACTCCTTCATCTCTGAGAGAAGATTCAGAAAATAGCATTTTGCCCTGAGGGGTGGTTCAAGGAGGACATGCCAATGGGAAAAATAACCTCTACTGATTTGTACTTTCTCTGACTTTTCTTGCATATGGTTTCAATACAGTGTTTTAAAGAGAAAGGGAGTGTGAGTGCATGTGTGTGTTGGTGTGTGTGTGTGTGTGTTGGTGTGTGTGTGTTATATCCATGCATGGATATCCTATATCCACACATATGTTACATGTGTGTGTTTATGTCTTACTTTTGGAATCTTAAAATGTACTCATTCTGGATATTTGGATTTTGTTGTTGTTATTATGTGCCATCAAGTTGACTACGACTCATAGTGACCCTGTGAACAATGGCTCTGAACCTTGCCCTATCCTGAGTCAACTTCACTGTCTCTGACACACCTGATCATTGCCACTGTGTCAATCCATCTCATCCAGGGTCTTCCTCTTCTGTGCTGACCCTCATCTATCCTTCCAAGCATGATGTCCTTCTCCAAGGACTGGTCATTCCTGACAACATGCCCAAAGTACAAGAGATGGGGCCTCCAAGTCCTTGCCTCCAAAGAATAAATTGTTTTCACACTCTCCAGGACAGAAAGCCTGTTTGTTCTCTTGGCAATTTATGGTATATTCAATACTCTTCCCCAACACCTCACACATCTCGCAGGCATTGATTCTTTTTCTGTCATCCATATTTATTGTCCAGCTCTCAGTTGCATAGCAAACAATTAAGAAAACTATGGCCTGGATCAGGTACACCTTAGTCCCTACGCTTATATTGTTGCTCTTTACCACTTTAGCGAGATCTTTGACAGCAGATTTCCCCAATACATTCTGTAGATGAGAGAATTGAGGATTAGAAAAAGTTAGATAAAAGTTACATAACTAGTATGTAATAGAGGTGAAACTTCACGCCTCATCTCCTGACCACATCTGAAACTCAGAATAGGCAGTTCTTAACCAGATTTACATATGTGCAATAATTGGGTCAGTGAAGGGGAAGAGGAGAAGCATGCCTTGATCCAGTCTGAGAGATCTCATTTAATTAATTGGTGTGAGGTATAAGCTTAAGTTTTTTGTGTTGGGTTTATATTTTTTGTGTGGTTTATGTTTTGCTGTTTTGGGGTTTTTTTTGGTCAGGCTCTCCCAGGTATTTCTAAAGTACTTCCAGGATTGAAAACTTCTCTTCTAGATATTGAGAAATTTCTGGGATGTTGTTATTGTTGTTATGTGCTATTGAGTTGGGACCCAATCATTGCTGACCCTCCAGCAGGCTTTCAGAAGCAATAAATCACTTGGGAAAAGATTGACTATCTTTCTCCTTCAAAGCAGCTGGTAGATTTGAACCACATGACTTCAGGTTTGTAGTACAACTCCTTACCATTACCATCGTTCCCTTTCTGAGGTATTGGGAGAGCTTTAAAACTACTTTTGCCCTGATCATCAGCAAGATGTCTTTGAAGCTGACAAAAACAGGATTAAGCAAAACTCAAAGTATAAGCATCTTGTAATGAAATAGAGAAGCTCTCCAGGCCTCACCTTGTGGATGTTCAAGTCCTCAGATGATGGGGAGTTAGGGAACTCTGGAGCATTGTCTGGTTGTTGTTCGACAAAGCTCATCCATGGGACAACTGCAGCAGCAGCACTTTGGGAGCTCAGGTCTTGCAGTCCAAAATTCATGGAGAGTTGAGCTGCTAACCCAGGGGCCACACCTCTCTGCAGATCAAATCAACCAACAGCTCTATTGGAGGAAGAAAAGCAGTCGTGCTGTGTCAACCCAGCTATAAATCAGTTCCAACTCAACAGCAATGAGTCTTTTTGAGGGGGGATTGTACCCTAGAAAGTCCAGTGTACGGAGAAGTAACAATAGTCTTTTTGAGGGAGGGGGGTGTGGGTGGGTGTGTGTCCTAGCAAACCCAGTGGCAGTAGTCCATGCTTTCTGGAAATTGAGTAGACTAGAAGAAACATGGGAATCTCCACATCTTTTGCAATAGTTCTCCACACGGTTTTTCATTTCTGAATACCCAGGTTTAGTTCAAGTCAGTTTGCTTTGGGACTAGAGCTGTTGTCGTTGTTTGTTGTTTTACCGTCAAGTCAGAACTGACCCATAACTGACCTCCAGCACGTGGCAGTTAATCTCGTGGGAAGATAGTGCCCATCCTTATCCCACAGGGCAGCTGGTGGATTCATACTGCGTGCCTTCAGGATTACAGCACAACTTCTTACCACTAATAATTTCATAGTTGTTGTTATGTGCTGTCAAGTCGCTTGCAACTCATAGCGACCCTATGTACAACAGCCCTAAACTCTGCTCTGTCCTGTGCCAGTCGCACTGTCTCTGACACTCCCATCCCAATTATCCCAGTCACTGAATCAGTCCGCCTCATAGAGGGCCTTCCTCTCCTGTGCTGTCCCTCCACCCTCCCAAGCATGATGTCCCTCTCCAAGGACAGGTCTCTCCTCACAACATGTCCAAAGTATCAGAATCCTTGCCTCCAAGGAACCACCCGGTTTAACCCTTTCCAGGACAAATCTGTTTGTTTTCCAAGCAGTCCATGGTATTCCCAATACTCTTCTCCAGCACCACAGCTCAAAGGCATCAATTCTCCTTCTATCCTCCTTTGTCATTGTCCAACTCTCTGATGCATAACAAGTGATTGCGAAGACCATGGCCTGTATCAAATGCACCTTAGTCTCCAGAGAGACACCATTGCTCTTCAGTACTTTGGAGAGGTCCCTAACAGCAGACTTTCCCATGGCAATGTGCCTTTTAATTTCCTGGCTGCTGGTGCCAAGACTGTTGACTATGGAGCCAAGCAAACTAAAGCTGTGTACAATCTCAATCTCTTCACCATCCATCCTGATGCTGCCAGTTGGTCCAGTGGTGAGAATCTTTGTCTTCTTGACATTGAGCCTCAATCCATATTGAAGGCTGCAGTCCTTGACACTCTGCAGCAGGCGCTTCAGGTCCTCTGCAGTTTCAGCAAGCAGGGTTGTGTCATCCGCATAACGCAGATTGTTGATAAATTGTCCACCAATCTTGACCCCACATAATTAAAATAATGATACTTTATCTTCCTCATTGTTGTTGTTGTATATTGTCAAGTCGGAACCAACCCCTAGCTGGCCCTCTGGCAGGTTTTTAGAGGCAGCTAGCGCATGGGAGGAGACTGCCCATCCTTCTCCCATGGAGCAGCTGATGGATTTCAACTTTTTGCCTTCTCGATTACAGCACAGCTTCTTGCCACTAGGCCACCAGTACTCCCCTCTTTCTCATTGTTGTTGTTATGTGCTGTCGAGTCACTTGCAACTCATAGTGACCCTATGTAAAACAGCCCTAAACCCTGCTCTGTCCTGTGCCAGTCTTGCTGTCTCTGACACACCCACCCCCATTACCCCAGTCACTGAATCAGTCCACCTCACAGAGGGTATTCCTCTCCTGCGCAGTCCCTCCACCCTCCCAAGCATGATGTCCCTCTCCAAAGGCCTGTCTCTCCTTACAACATGTCCAAAGTATGTCAGACAAAGCTTCAGAATCCTTGTCTCCAAGGAGCAGCCTGGTTTCACACTCTACATGACGAACTTGTTTGTTCTAGCAGTCCATGGTATATTCAATACTCTTCTCCAGCACCACAGCTCAAAGGCATCAGTTCTCCTTTTATCATCCCTAGTCATTGTCCAGCTCTCTGGAGCATAGCAAGTAATGGCAAAGACCATGGCCTGGATCAGGTGCACCTTAGTCTTCAGACTGACATCCTTGCTCCTCAGTACCTTAGAGAGGTCTCTGACAGCAGACTCAGTGCAATTAGTCTTTTAATTTCCTGGCTTCTGTTACAAAGAGTGTTGATTGTACTAAATACCACGTAATAGATTATCCACAGGGATGCATTAAATTTTATTGAACTTACTGTTTAAAATCATTTCTTAAAATGGCCTTATCTGGCACTTAGCAGAAGGAGTTTTTACTCTTCTAAAAATATGCTTAGTTTCCAGGTTTTCTGCAAATACATTATTTTCTAGGAACTTGATATAAACAGACTAGTAATGTGTCTGTACTGTTAATTAAGAAGGACTTCAATTTTCTAAAGAACTTTTGGACTCTGGTTCAAAAAACCCCAAACCTGCAGTTGATTTTTTGGTTTCTTTTTGCCTTTTTTCAGGTGCTTAGAACTGCAGCCCAACAACCTGAAGGCTCTGATGGCTTTGGCTGTGAGTTACACTAACACTGGCCATCAGCAGGATGCCTGTGACGCACTCAAGAACTGGATCAAGCAAAACCCCAAGTACAAATACCTTGTGAAGAGCAAGAAAGGATCTCCAGGCCTCACCCGGCGGATGTCCAAGTCCCCAGTTGATAGGTATCCTTCTCATTATAGTACAAGCAAACGGTAAACAGCTCCATACCAAATTTATCACCATAAAGATAATTAATGAGCCTCAAGTCTCCGATACCACCACCTGCTCCAGAATGGTTTGTAGGGCATTGTTAACACTAGAATAGTAGCTCCAATTAAAAAGATCGATGACTGGGACCAAAGCCAGTCTTGGGATTCATGACCTATATTGTGGACACTCACAGACATTTATCTGAGCACCATATTTTAAAGCCCAGTGTGCTGGACATAGAACTCCTAGTCCATAGGGAGTTGCACTGTTCACCCAAAAAAAAGTTTTGTTTCTCTGATGATTTGAATCCACCGGCTGCCCCTTTGAAAAAAGATAGGCAATTTCCTGTGTAGTTTGTAGCCTCCAAAATCACACTGAAGGTCTGCTATGGGACAATTCTGACTCAGTGGCAATTAATATAGTTGGTAGTAAATTGTAATGAATACCAATGCTCCACTCCAGATTAAGCCTAAGAATTAGGTGATGGGGTGGGGGGGGGCGGGGGGAGGTGGAAATGGAAGTCCTATCCTCTAGGAATTTTGTTTCGGCCAGTCATAAATCATGATGCCAAATCATTTCTCACTCAGGCCTTGGAAAGCTTAGCCATGGGGCTTTCTATGCTTTTAACTCATGCATCTGAGGAACTCTCTTGTGAAGGACTAACTCAGCATATATCTGTGTGTGACAAAATCAGCAAGTATTTTCAGCACACAGTGTTGCCAGTCTTTTCACTAAGCCATTTTCTTGCAGTGTTTGATGTTTTTTTCAACCTGCAATGAACAGAAACTTCTTGGAATAGACAACCTAATAATAAATAATTTCTATTTAGACAATGTGGATTACAAATCTAATGTTGTCCCTTGCAGCTCAGTTCTGGAAGGAGTGAAGGAGTTATATCTGGAAGCTGCCCACCAAAACGGAGATCTGATCGACCCAGACCTACAGACAGGGCTGGGGGTCCTGTTCCACCTAAGTGGAGAATTTAACAGAGCAATAGATGCATTTAATGCTGCACTAACTGTTCGGCCAGAGGTAAGTGCATGCACAAAAAGAAACCATAAGGTTCCCTATTAAAAATAAATTTCACACACAGGCTGCACTTACTGTTATTCTGATGTACTTGTCTCCATTTTCCTGCCTCCCATGGCTCCTGGGAATGTTAATAATTAAATAACTAAAACATGAGCATTAATTGCATGACAGCATCAGAGGGTGGCTGCAGTTTGATGAATGAAAGTCATTTCATAAATCTGTCCATTGAGGATTTTGAGTGAGTCGTGAGCACTTGGATATAGTTTTCATCCTCTACCTGCTCTGCAGGCAAGTATGAGATTACTTTGTCACTGTAAGTTGTACTGATTGTGAGGGCTCTATTTTTGCCATCAGGACTATTCATTGTGGAACCGTCTCGGGGCCACCCTGGCGAATGGCGATCGCAGTGAGGAAGCCGTGGAGGCCTACACACGGGCTCTGGAGATCCAGCCAGGCTTCATCCGGTCCAGATACAATCTGGGGATAAGCTGCATCAATCTGGGTGCCTACAGGTGAATTATGGCAATAAGCCAAGAAAAGAAAGCCTTGTTTGTTCAAGGCTCAGGCTGGCTAACCTGAATGGTTCCTTCTGTCTGAAATACCTCTATTATTGTAGAATATTTCTTCCTGAGTCAGTCATAGTTCTCCAGAGAAACAGAACCCAAGAGGCTTACAGATGCATACAGGCTGACAGATGCATACAGGCTGTCAGATTGGCAATAGATATCAATATTATGGATCACTAGTGGCTTACTGGCAAAATCAGGTGGTTGCTATTTTTGTTGTGCATTGTCAAGGTGGAATTGACCCTTCAGCAGGTTTTCAAAGGCAGTAAATCCCATGGGAGGAAATAGCCTGTCTTTCTCCAGCAGAGCAGTTGGCCATTGTTGTTGTTAAGGGGAGCTCAGGTGGCCTAGTAGTAAGAAACTGTGCTGCAATCCCAAAGGTATGCGATTCAAATCCACCAGCTACTCTATGGGAGAAGGAGGTACATTGTTGTTAAGTGCTGTCGAGTCAAGTATGATTCATTGTTGTTGATATGTGCTGTCCAGTCAACCACAACTCATTGCAACCCTACAGACAATAGCTCTGAACCCTGTCATGTTGTTAAGTGTCATTGAGTCACCTGCAACTCGTAGAAAATTTATGCACAATAGCTTTGAACACTATCTGATCCTGAGTCAGTCTCACTGTCTCTGATACACCTACCGCTCTTAGGCCAGTTACTGTGTTACCCTCTCATCCAGGGTCTTCCTCTCCTGCATTGTCCCTCTGTCCTTCTGAGCATGAAGTCCTTCTCCAAGGACTGTACTTTCTTGGCTACATGTCCATAGTATGTGAGAGGGAGCTTTAATATTCTTATCTCCAATGAGGAACTTGGTTTCACCTTCTCCAGGACAGATCTCTTTGTTCTCCTGGAAGTCTATGGTATGTTCAACACTTTTCTCTAGCACCATAATTCAAAGACATCAGTTCTCCTTCTATCATCCTTGGTCATTGTCTGGCTCTCTACTGCATAACAAATAATTACAAAGACCATGTTCTGGACCGTGCACACCTTAGTCTGTAGACAATGACATCATTTCTCTTTACCACTCTGAAGATGTTCCTGCTAGCAGATTTACCTAATGCAATTTGTCTTTTGATTTCCTGGTTGCTGGTGCCAAAAGAGCTGATTGTGGAACTGAGTGGCTCTATAAATGAAAGATCTGATCTCTGACCTGTCCTGTACCATCCTTATCATACTCCACATATTTGAGTTCACTGCCACAGACACTGTATCTGCCTCTCTTTCACTAATCCTCCATCTTTCCAAGCATGATGTCCTTTTGCAAGGAATAGCCTCTCAAACAACATGTCCAAGATATGCGAGATGAAGGTTCACCATCTTTGCCCCAAGAAGCATTCTGATTACACTTTCACCAACATATATTTGTCTGACCTTTTGCACTCCCTGGGATATTCTACAACACCACAACTCCAACACATCTTGTTTTTCTCCTGCCATCCTTATTCATTGTCCAGCATAGCAGATGATTGGAAAGGCTCTGGATTTAATCAGGCACACCTTAGTCTTTAAACTGATATCATTGTTCTTCTGGACTGTCAAGAGATCCTTGGCAGCCAATAATCCAATGCTAGATGTCTCCCAGTCTCCTGACTCTGGTACCAACAGTTGACTGCGAATCCAAACAAGATTAAATTGTTGACAATTTAAATCTTTTTTTCCATCTATCATGATAATGCTTATTGGTCCAGTGGTGAGAACTTCTGTTTTCGTGATGTTGAGATAATCCATATTGAAGGTTGCAGTCCTTGATCCCCTCTGGCAAGTGCTTCAGGTCCTTCTCACGGTAGTCAAGTTAGGTTGTGTCATCTGCATAACTCAGGCTGTTGATGAGCCTTGTTCTAATTGTGATGTCACACTTTTCTGTATAAAGTCCAGCTTCTCAAATTATTTCCTCAGCACAACATACAGACTGCATAGGCATAGAATGAGGATACTACTGACTTACACCTTTCCCAACTTTAAACCATGCAGTGTTTGCTTGCTCTGGTCAGAGACAGCATCTTGGTCTATGTATAGATTTCCATATAAGAATAATTAGGTGTTCTGGAATTCTCTTTCTTCTCAGGGTTAGTTATAGTCTGTTGTGACCCACACAGTCAAATACCTTTGTATACTCAAGAAAACACAAATATACATTCTTCTAAATTCTCTTTAGCTAAGATACATCTGACATCAGCAATGATATCCCTGATACTACAGCCTCTTCTAAACCCAGCGTGCATTTCTGGCAGTTCTCTGTCAATGAATGTACTGTTCTAGCCATTTTCAGATAATCTTCAATAGCATTTTTCTTACATGTGATATAAATTATACTCTTTTGTATTTTGCACGTTTTATTGGCTCACCTTTCTTAGACATGAATATAGATATAGGTCTCTTCCAGTCAGTTGGCCAGATAACTGCCTTCCGTATTTCCTGGCACAGACTGTGAGCACAGCCAGGGCTGCATTTACTATTTGGAACATGTTGGTCTGTATTTCTTCAATTCCTGGGGCTTTTCTTTTTTTCTTAACCAATGCTTCCAGTTCAGCTTCAACTTCTTCCTTAACACCATTGGATCTTTATCATATGATATGTTCTGAAATGTTTCAGTGTTGACTAATTCTTTTTTTGTACAGTGACTCCAATGTACTTGTTCTACCTTTTTTTTTCCCTTTTATGTTTCCTGGACCAAACTCAAGATATACAAGCTGTCAGTATTGTAACAGCAGGCTTTAATTTATCTTTCAGTAGTTCTTTAAGTTTGAGAAATGGTAGGAATGTGGAAATGGATTGTCTATATGTGTGTGTGTGTGTGTGTGTGTGTGTGTAATGGTGGTGTTGTGGTGGGTGTTCGTTGGCATTGGAACATATCCAGCTTCTGGAAGCCCAGGTGTATCAGAATTCAGCTCTGCTCCATGAGGTTTTTCAGAAGTCGATCTGTTGGCCTTCCTTTTGGTGACCTTTCAGTTATTAGTTGTGTGATTAACTACTTGTGCCACTCAGTGACTCATGTGTTTAGAGGATGGAAGGAGAGGAGTGTGCACATACATATTCATGCAGGGAAGACTGATTGATGTTGAAGGATTGGTTAACAAGACTGGAGAACCTGACAAGTCCAAATAACTCAGACAACAGGCTGATAAGTCCGGCGTGCTCTTGTGACTGAAACAATTCAGGCCCTGGGCTGCGGTCTATCAGGATAGGTATGTTGCTGTCTTGAGGGAAGATCCTTCTCCATCACAGAGCCCCAGTTTTGCTTTCAAGGATTTCAACTGGTTGGAAAAGGCTCCCTCACATTGTGGAGGGTAACTTGCTTCAACGTCGACTGAGTTAAATATTAATCATATACACATACAGCAACATCCACTGCTGTAAGACTGAATATCTCAGAATATCTCAGTTGGCACATGAAACTGTCCAAACTTCTCCTCCTATTAAGGTTAAACGTCAAACTTTTGAATTAAGGGTAACTTTTAAGTAGTAAACTTAGTGCTTCAGTATTTATCAAACATTGTTGTTTTTATGTGCCATTAAGTCACCTGTGATGCATAATGACCCTATGTACAACAGCCCTAAACACTGCTCTATCCTGTGCCAAACCTATTGTCTCTGACATACCAACCCCCATTGCCCCAGCCACTGAATCAATGCAGCTCATTGAGGGGCTTCCTATCCTGCATTGTCCTTTCATTCTCCCAAGCATGATGTACCTCTTCAAGGACTTATCCCACCTTGCAACATGTCCAAACTACATCAGACGATGCTTCAAAATCCTTGACTCTCAGGAGCAGCCTGGCTTCACCTTCTACAGGATGAACTTGTTTGTTCTCCTAGCAGTCCATGGTATATTCAATAATCTTCTCCAGCACCACAGCTCAAAGGCATCAATTCTCCTTCTATCATCCTTAGACATTGTCCAGCTCTCTGATGTATAGCAAGTAATTGCAAAGACCATAGCCTATGTCAAGCAAACCTTAGTCTCCAGAATGACATCTTTGCTCTTTAGTACTTTAGAAAGGTCTCGGAAAGCAAACTTTCGCAATGCAATTCATCTTTTAATTTCCTGGCTGTTAGTACCAAGAGTGGTGATTGTAGAGCCAAGCAAACTGAAGCTGTTAACAATCTCAATCTCTTCACCATATATCATGATGCTGCCAATTGGCACAGTGGTGAGAATCTTTGTTTTCTTGATGTTGAATTTCAATCCATATTAAAGGCTACAGTCCTTGATCTTCTCCAACAAGTGCTTCAGGTCCTCCTCAGTTTCAGCAAGCAGGATTGTGTCAACTACGTAACGCAGATTGTTGATGAGTCTATCTCCAATCCTTATGCCACATTTCTCCTCATAGAGCCCAGCCTTCTGAATAATCTGCTCTGCATATAGATTGAAAAGATATGGAGTTAGGACACATCCTTAATGAGTACCCTTCCCAATTTTGAACCATGCAGTTTTCCTTGCTCTGTTCTGACGACTGCCTCCTGGTCCAAATAAAGGTTTCACATAAGTGCAATCAAGTGTTCTGGGATTCCCATTCTTCTCAGAGTCAGCCACAGTTTGTTGTGATCCACAAATGGCTTTGCATAGTCAATGAAACACAGGTAGACAGTCATCTGGTATGCTCTGCTTTCAGCCAAGATCCATCTGAGATTTGCAGTATAGATAAACAAATATTACTTTGATATATAGGGTAAAAAAATAACTAAATATTATATTTAAAGGCCTGTACAAAATATATAATCTCTGCGTTCTCAGAAGGAGTCAGACTTTTAGAGCCAGACAAGGTAAGGTATATATTCAAATTACACCTCTACCATTGACTAGCTTCCCAATTCCAAAAATGGAATCCTAAACTTTCCTTACTTAAAAATTAAAATATAACAATACCTCTCTTGGAAGATTGCTATGCAAGTTAAACATCACTGTCTAGCTCAGAGCAGGTTCTCATTACCTAATAGCAG